AAATGTCTGATCTATATAAATGTCACACCTGTATAAATGTCACACCTGTATAAATGTCACACCTGTAGAAATGTCACACCAATATAAATGTTTCACCTATATAAATGTCATACCTGTATAAATGTCACACCTGTATAAACGTCTCATCTATATAAATGTCATACCTGTATAAATGTCACACCTGTATAAATGTCTCATCTATATAAATGTCACACGTGTATGAATGTCTCATCTATATAAATGTCACACCTGTATAAATGTCTCATCTATATAAATGTAACACCTGTATAAATATCTCATCTAAATAAATGTCTCACCTGTATAAATATCTCACCTATATAAATGTCATACCTGTATAAATGTCTCATCTATATAAATGTCTCATCTAAATAAATGTCATACCTGTATAAATGTCTCATCTATATCAATGTCACACCTGTATAAATGTCACATCTGTATAAATGTCACACCTGTATCAATGTCTCATCTATATAAAGGTCGCACCTGTATAAATGTCTCATCTATATAAATGTCACATCTGTATAAATGTCTGATCTATATAAATGTCACACCTGTATAAATGTCACACCTGTATAAATGTCACACCTGTACAAATGTCACACCTATATAAATGTTTCACCTATATAAATGTCATACCTGTATAAATGTCACACCTGTATAAACGTCTCATCTATATAAATGTCATACCTGTATAAATGTCACACCTGTATAAATGTCTCATCTATATAAATGTCACACGTGTATGAATGTCTCATCTATATAAATGTCACACCTGTATAAATATCTCACCTATATAAATTTCACACCTGTATCAATGTCTCATCTATATAAATGTCACACCTGTATAAATGTCTCACCTATATAAATGTTTCACCTATATAAATGTCATACCTGTATAAATGTCTCACCTATATAAATGTTTCACTTATATAAATGTCATACCTGTATAAATGTCATACCTATATAAATGTCACACCTATATAAATGTCTCATCCATATAAATGTCACACCTGTATAAATGTCTCATCTATATAAATGTCACACCTGTATAAATGTCTCATCTATATAAATGTCATACCTGTATAAATGTCACACCTGTATAAATGTCGTACCTGTATAAATGTCATACCTCTGTAAGTGTCACACCTATATAAATGTCTCATCTATATAAATGTCACACCTGTATAAATTTCTCATTTATATAAATGTCACACCTACATAAATGTCTCACCTATATAAATGTCATACCTGTATAAATGTCACACCTGTATAAATGTCTCATCTGTATAAATGTCAGACCTGTATAAATGTCTCATCTATATAAATGTCACACCTATGTAAATGTCTCATCTATATCAATGTCACACCTGTATAAATGTCTGATGAATATAAATGTCACACCTGCATAAATGTCTCATCTATATAAATGTCACACCAGTATCAATGTCTCATCTATATAAATGTCACACCTGTATAAATGTCACACCTATATAAATGTCACACCTGTATCAATGTCTCATCTATATAAATGTCACACCTGTATAAATGTCTCATCTATATAAATGTCACACCTGTATCAATGTCTCATCTATATATATAAATACCTGTATCAATGTCTCATCTATATCAATGTCACATCTGTATAAATATCTCACCTATATAAATTTCACACCTGTATTAATGTCTCATCTATATAAATGTCATACCTGTATAAATGTCTCATCTATATAAATGTCACACCTGTATAAATGTCTCAACTATATAAATGTCACACCTATATAAATGTCTCATCTATATAAATGTCACACCTGTATAAATGTCTCATCTATATAAATGTCACACCTGTATAAATGTCTCATCTATATAAATGTCTCACCTATATAAATGTCTCATCTATATAAATGTCTCACCTATATAAATGACACACCTGTATAAATGTCTCACCTATATAAATGTCACACCTATATAAATGTCACACCTGTATAAATGTCACACCTGTATAAATGTCTCATCTATATAAATGTCACACCTATATAAATGTCTCGTCTATATAAATGTCACATCTGTATAAATGTCTCATCTAAATAAATGTCACACCTGATTAAATGTCTCACCTACATAAATGTCACACCTGTATAAATGTCTCATTTATATAAATGTCACACCTGTATAAATGTCTCATCTATATAAATGTCACACCTGTATAAATATCTCACCTATATAAATGTCACACCTGTATAAATGTCTCATCTATATAAATGTCACACCTGTATAAATGTCACATCTATATAAATGTCACACCTGTATAAATGTCACACCTATATAAATGTCTCACCTATATAAATGTCATACCTGTATAAGTGTCACATCTATATAAATGTCACACCTGTATAAATGTCTCATCTATATTAATGTCACATCTATATAAATGTCACACCTATATAAATGTCTCATCTATATAAATGTCACATCTATATAAATGTCACACCTGTGTAAATGTCTCATCTATATTAATGTCACATCTATATAAATGTCACACCTATATAAATGTCTCATTTATATAAATGTCACACCTGTATAAATGTCACATCTATATAAATGTCTCACCTGTATAAATGTCTCATCTATATAAATGTCACATCTGTATAAATGTCTCATCTATATAAATGTCACACCTCTATAAATGTCTCATCTATATAAATGTCACACCTGTATAAATGTCACATCTATATAAATGTCACACCTATATAAATGTCACACCTGTATAAATGTCTCATCTATATCAATGTCACACCTGTATAAATGTCTCATCTATATCAATGTCACCCCTGTATAAATGTCTCATCTATATCAATGTCACACCTGCATAAATGTCACACCTGTATAAATGTCTCACCTATATAAATGTCACACCTGTATCAATGTCTCATCTATATTAATGTTACACCTATATAAATGTCACATCTATATAAATGTCTCATTTATATAAATGTCACAACTGTACAAATGTCTCATTTATATAAATGTCACACCTATATAAATGTCACATCTATATAAATGTCACACCTATATAAATGTCACATCTGTATAAATGTCTCATCTATATCAATGTCACACCTGTATAAATGTCTCATCTATATTAATGTCACATCTATATAAATGTCACACCTGTATAAATATCTCACCTATATAAATTTCACACCTGTATCAATGTCTCACCTATATAAATGCCACACCTGTATAAATGTCTCACCTATATTAATGTCACACCTGTATAAATGTCTCATCTATATAAATGTCATACCTGTATAAATGTCACACCTGTATAAATGTCATACCTGTATAAATGTCTCACCTATATTAATGTCACACCTGTATAAATGTCTCATCTATATAAATGTCACATCTGTATAAATGTCACATCTATATAAATGTCACACCTGTATAAATGTCTCACCTGTATAAATGTCACACCTGTATAAATGTCTCATCTATATAAATGTCACACCTGTATAAATGTCACACCTGTATAAATGTCACACCTGTATAAATGTCTCATCTATATAAATGTCACACCTATATAAATGTCACACCTGTATAAATGTCACACCTGTATAAATGTCTCACCTGTATAAATGTCACACCTGTATAAATGTCTCACCTGTATAAATGTCACACCTGTATAAATGTCACACCTGTATAAATGTCTCATCTATATAAATGTCACACCTGTATAAATGTCACACCTGTATAAATGTCACACCTGTATAAATGTCTCATCTATATAAATGTCACACCTGTATAAATGTCACACCTGTATAAATGTCACACCTGTATAAATGTCTCATCTATATAAATGTCACACCTGTATAAATGTCTCATCTATATAAATGTCACACCTGTATAAATGTCACACCTGTATAAATGTCACACCTGTATAAAGGTCTCATCTATATAAATGTCACACCTGTATAAATGTCTCATCTATATAAATGTCTCACCTGTATAAATGTCACACCTGTATAAATGTCTCATCTATATAAATGTCACACCTGTATAAATGTCTCATCTATATTAATGTCACACCTATATAAATGTCTCATCTATATAAATGTCACACCTGTATAAATGTCACATCTATATAAATGTCACATCTATATAAATGTCACATCTATATAACTGTCACACCTGTATAAATGTCACACCTATATAAATGTCTCATTTATATAAATGTCACACCTGTATAAATGTCTCATCTATATAAGTGTCACACCTGTATAAATGTCTCATCTATATTAATGTCACATCTATATAAATGTAACACCTGTATAAATGTCTCATTTATATAAATGTCACACCTGTATAAATGTCACATCTATATAAATGTCACACCTGTATAAATGTCTTATCTATATTAATGTCACACCTATATAAATGTCACACCTATATAAATGTCTCATCTATATAAATGTCTCACCTGTATAAATGTCACATCTATATAAATGTCACACCTGTATAAATGTCTCATCTATATAAATGTCACACCTGTATAAATGTCACATCTATATAAATGTCACATCTATATAAATGTCACATCTATATAAATGTCACACCTGTTTAAATGTCACACGTGTATAAATGTCACATCTATATAAATGTCACACCTATATAAATGTCTCATCTATATAAATGTCACACCTGTATAAATGTCACACCTGTATAAATGTCTCATCTATATTAATGTCACACCTATATAAATGTCACACCTGTATAAATGTCTCATTTATATAAATGTCACACCTGTATAAATGTCTCGTCTATATCAATGTCATACCTGTATAAATGTCACATCTGTATAAATGGATCATCTATATAAATGTCATACCTGTGTAAATTTCTCATTTATATAAATGTCATATTTTTTTTTTAATTATATTTTAATTCTATTTTTAAATATTTTAAATACTGGAGTGTCTTACCTGGAGGAAGCGTAGGCCGCTGATAGTCGAGTAGCTCCTGTTAATTCTCTGTGACAAGACCTGTGAAAGGATAAAGAATGAACCTGTGTTAAATAGTAATGTCTTTTTTTGCAAATTCACTGGACTGAGAAAGATTAGACTGACGTGACTGATGTTATAAAATCCGACTGAAACATGATGTTACTTTTATTGACGTCAAAGAAATATGTGACGCGCCAAGCAAAAACCTCCCTTATCGAAGAATTTTGACTTTTTCAGTTTTTTATTGATTCTTGTAGAGTTTTTCTTTCTCTTTCTTTTGATGTATTACATGACATATATTTCTGTACATAAATGTATAAAAAATCCCATGACAAAGACGGAATATTTACTTTGACGTACAGTGTACGCGTGTGTTAACTGCAGGAATTTTTTAACGTAAAATCGTCAAATGACGTAAAGCTTCATAACAATTTGATGATATTTATTATTATTAAACTTTTGATTTGATTTCCTTCAAAGTATCAACAATTAAGGATATTTTCATCGTAATACTAGAAAATAAACATTCTAAAGTATATCTTTGAGAAACGAATGACGGGGGGGGGGGGGAATGATCGTCAAGGGAAAAACTCAAGACAAAATCAAAAAATCTTCTCTTCACCAATTTATGGCGTTTAAATACAGTAAAATGGCAGAAATCTACATCACTGCAATAGTAAAAGAAATTTTGCAACATTTGGATAAAAAAAAGTCCTATTGTGGTAATACAAACGACACAGGTACGTCTTCCTACTAGCTTAGGCTTGTGGGATAACCCTTAAGCTTATTCGGTAAAGCAGAGAGGCGTCGGGTTCGATCCCAATTAAACAGAGGTACGTTATTTTCTCTGTTACACTACCAAAGTATTTATTTTTAAAAAAGAAGTTCGGGACAGTCTTTACTCCACACACACGCACACCCAGGTCATTAAAAGTCGATACAATTTACGAATAGATAGAAAGTATTGTCCTAGTACCTGAAATTCTTTAAAGAGTGCGACAGTTTTCTTTTTTATATCCAAAGGAAAAATATCATTTCTTTTAACACAAGTTAACTATTTGCATGTTTTAGTTTCGAATGTTTTATAACGGAAGACTTCTTGGCTTATTGAAAAGATATTCTGCACCCAAGAATAAATTGTATTTTTCTCTTGTAGTAGCGTTTGATCCTTTTCTTCTAAATATACTTCTTTTTAATAATTTAAACATAAATATAAAATAGGAAACGGAAGGCCAGGAAAAATGAATCATATCTATTACCAAAATAATAATTATTGAACTCTTTAAAATTTGATGCACCTAATCTTCATTGATTTGATTTTAACATGCATTTATTGAATTATACAAACGCATTGGAAACAAATTTGATAACTTTCAAGTTCTTATTGTAAATGTAAAAACTGATTTCATAATGACACCCGGAAAAGAAAAGCGTCTGCATGCATACTTTTCAGTGAATCAGAATGTAACATCCATCCCCACCAAGTAAAATATATGTATTTTTAAATCTTGTTAATTAAAAAACAAATCTGCAATTTATATGTATGAAGTTAATCGTGAATTAATTTTGAACCGATCATTGTATATATATATATAAGCCGAATAACAAACCACAATACCAGAATATATATGAATATCACAAGTGACACGTCATTTCTAGGAATAAAATATAAGGCTTATACTAAGCTTCACTGTTACCTTCCTGAGAAAATACATGCACACATTATGATTTATTTAAATCATTTTAAATGCTAGTTACATTTTAGTATTGGTTAAAACACGCATGTCAAAAATAGCAACAGAAAGTAAGAGAACGTGTAAAACATTTTTACTTGTAATATTCTTCGATCATCGTAAACGGGAGGGGGGGGCATGTCTCAGCTATGGACATTCACACTTAATTGATTACCTGATTTAATTAAACAAGAACAAGGCACACATCTTAAGCTGTAACTTTTGTTATTTTTTTTTTAAAAAAAAACTTAATTGTTGTAATTTATATTTTTTTAACACGAGAAGCTGTATGAATGGGTTAGTTGATCAAGCACGCAATATTCAAGCCGACCAACATGTATTTTTTATGTTCGATAAATCCTTTATCATAGAATATAGAGCGATTTGATCATATTGACTTAAGTATGATATATTCAGACACATGTATTTACATACTCTAACTTCCATGTATATTGAACAAATATAGGCATATTATAATTACATCCGATTAATATATTTTGCATAAGCGTCGGAACCCCCGGGGGAGGGGGTAGGAGGGGATTAGACCCCCCCTTTTTTTCTCTATATTAAGATATACTTAATATAGTCATTAGACATTGCTGCATATACTTACCCCCCCCCCCCCCCACACACACACACACACACTTTCCCTTTCCATTGACATGTTGCAATATAGGCGTAAAATGGGGAAAGTGGTGTGTTTGGAAAAAAAGGTTTGGAGTTCGAACCTACCCCCCCCCCCCTCCCACATAATTGGATTTTCGTGTTTAACCAATGCATATTTCCTTTTTTTATTGCTTGTCAGGTCTTTTTGAAGGTTTAAAAATTCCTTATACCTACCCCCTGCCCCCCCCCCCCATTTTCAATTTGCTTCCGATGCCAATTTTTTGAGCAGATTTGTACCGTACTAATTTTGCATTAAACTGCCAATACATGTACATGTTCAAAGCAACTTTTGCAGGAAAAATTTATTAACGTTTTAAAATTTTGTTACATGTTTTTATTTAATAAATAACGTGTAATTTGTAGCAAATTTTCATGATTTGAAACGCATATTCATTTAATTGCGATACAACAGAGGGGAAACAAGATTATTATTTTCCAGGGTAGATGTTAAATCGTGAAATGTTGTTAGTAAAGTCTTTGTCGGGGAAATAATTACTTCAGGTTAAATAATCCTTAATTCAAAAGGTTAAAATAAATCATTAAAAAAAAGTGTTTAACCTCTAAAACGTTTAATTTATACTCCCATACTGCATTGATGTTTTAAAAAGGGCGGAATGTGATGAGCACCGAAGACGTTACTATAAATGTACATGCAACAGCCTGATTTTATACATGACCGAAATTATGTTGTTTTCGGGAATCCAGAACTCCAGAATCTTCGTTAGTACATGTAGAGAAACCATGCACAAAATAGTTTTAAAACTATTCAAACAGATTCTATGAATTTGTATCAATTTGAATTAATTATAACATTTTAGTGATGTATCATGTTTGCCATTTTTACATTTAGTGTATTGTGTATAACCTAATCAAACAGATTATGAAAAGGTCGATAAACATACGTTCAATCTGTTTAATTCTCAATCATGAAATATTTTAGACAGTGGGACTGTAACTTACAATGTATGCGAGCATCCGTAAATTCAAGACGAAATTACATGTAGCACGAAGTATCCAAAGAAATAAAGCAGACACACGACACAGAAGAAAGGGAAGGGAGGGGAGAATTTTTTCTACATTTTTTGTACAACATGAGAAGGTGTTCAACAATAAAATAAATTGAGAAGCTCAAAAGGTCTTTCTTCAAAATATTCATTTTAAATCGACAGCTAAAACTAATTCCGGAAGAAGTGTCCAAATCAAAAACTCTGTGTCATACCTATAGAGAATACTTTTTTTAAAAAAACTAAACTTAAATATTTTTCAATAACAATTCACGTTTTATTTATATAAAAGGCATCGTTAACTGTCCCAAACCAGTTTACATGTACACCGTTTACATTGGGTTAAATTCATTCCATAATTAAAAGAGAAGTAATTGAGGTAAATTTTCATTGCATCGCTATTAAAATAAAAATACCTTAGTTTAATGCTCCTTTAAAATTGCATGTGCATTACAATCAAATAGCTGGACATTAAATTAAAAAAAACTGTCTTTAAAAACGTGTTTGTTTGACCTTTTAAAATGAACAGATTAAAATCTTTTTTTAAATTTTCAAATAAATTATTCCGGGATTTTCTCATCCAATTAACAATTTAAATGCCTTCAATCTTGTTCAACACTGAAAATTTCTGACAAAAAAAAAAAAAAAAAAATTCGACCTACCTACCAATGTAATTTTTTAACCCGAATAGGGAGAAGGCAAAAAAACTTCATTTCAAAAACGGCCTTACGGGAATTTTTCAGCCACCACTGGAAATCTTTAAAAAATACACACTTAATTGTGAAGGAGATATCACATAGCCACTTGACGGAGAATAAATTTTTAATAAATAAACTACATCAAATTACACCCAAGAATCCGTCTTATTGTATAAATAAAACAACATCCCCCTGTTCTATTGCGGAGAGTTTCTCTCAAGGAGACGTTTTTACGTCGCATTTACCTTGTTGACTTTAGACGCGTCTTTTGACGTTACGTCATAATAGACATAAGGGAGGTTTTTGCTTGGCGCGTCACATATAATTTGTTAACATTTGGAATTTCTGTTATAATCTTTAAGGTGGAATCAAGCAACTACTATTCAGTGAGTAAAATAAAATAAACAGATTTCCATTGGACACACCTTGAAGTATTTCCAAGAATGTTAAAATATATACCTGATTAATTATTTTTTGGTACTGATGATTTTTTTTTAAATAGATAGACAATCAAGATTGGTTGGTAAGTAAAAGATAGATTCGAAGCTTAATTGAATATGCTTCTTGCGCGAGAATAAATTTTAGTTATGTAACAATAATTTAATTTTTGTATCCTCGTCTCTCATTAGTTGATTTCCAAAAAGGAACTCATATTATTTTGAATCTGGTTTGGTATGGGGACACATCCCCTTGACGACCATCTTAATCATCTTATCCATGCAAATCCCTCATTTCCAGTCCTCGGAATCCATGGAAATTTCAGATTTAATAAATGTATCTTTAACTTCAAACAGTTACTCGATTTTATCTCATGTAAAAAAAAACACCATGGCCGCTAGATCTATGTATCAGTTATTACCTCCCCTCGCTTCCCATCACTTCCGTTACTACGGTTGTATTATTACGCGGTAAATTTCAACTCATTAAAATCAGCACAAATTTACACCCAAAGTTGTTTAATTATTTAAAAGTTAAATTCTAAGGGGTGACTCTAATTCTTGGCCAAATTATCGAGTAATCTGGTTTGGATCAGTTTAGGTTTTTTTTTTTTTTTTTTTATAATTTCCTTCGCATTTCCTTTTACTTATGCAAATATTACGCATACACCCTTTCCACGCAATCACTTATTTTTGCACGCCCTTTCAGTAGTTCATTTAATCTTTAATCTTTAATTCAATGTCAATTCCCTTCTAAGTCATACTTCTGTATAATTTGGCTTTATCACATTACAAAGATAAATGAAATCTCCTCATGAAGTTTGTATGTCCTTTTATTATCAACATTCAGACTTTCATGATTATTTATTTTAGCTTCATATCCATAAATTTATTCTTTCTGTTTGATCACACTAAAAATGAAAGTACATGTATTACAAATTCCATAGAAAAGGTTAGGCAATAGGACAATTTTTAAGAAAACATGTACAATTCATGGTACATGTACGCATGTTTTTTTTCACTTTTTATCTTTTATATAAACTGCCATGTTTAAAATGCTATATATAATGATTTTGCAACCTATTTGATGATGAATTTAACTGAATGAAACCAGTACTGCGCTATAACAAAATGTAAGTGATTGTCTGTAACTCCATATTTCAATAACATGAACATGATATGCATGTTGAGGCACAGTTCTGTAAGTTGTAAAAAGTTAAAATATAATGTAATGCATAAGGTGTTACACAGCTAGAGAGAGGGAGAAAGAGAGATATTTTCTACACACTCACCAAAGAGAACAAAGCGTAGAAAACACAGAATCTTAACATTGTAATCCACTGCAAACAAACCAGATCTGTCAGTGATAAAGGTAGGAATCGGGACTAGTTTTAATTGGTTTTACCTTCTTTTTAAAAATATTTTTCGAAGCAGGAAGTTTTGGGTCAAGCTGCCCTCCATTCGTCTTCATTCCGCTTAACTAATTAATCGATTAATTAATCTTTTGAAATGTATCTGCCTACAAGTTTCAATTACATTTGTGGAAAAAAAGCGTGTATTTACCAATTGATGTTTATCGCTTGATTAATCAATGTGTTCACTAAAACACACAATAATAATTTTTTTAATCGAAAAAACATTACATGATGTTCTGTCAAATGGAGAAGATGGGTGAAAAGGCAGACAAATTAGCTATATTGCATCAAACACGAAGTGAAAAATAAATTTCAATTATATCAAAAATTTCTTTGATAGTTCACTTACGTTAAAATATCATCTAATATAGATATATTTATATACTTTATATTTTTTAAAATATATATATATATATATTTGTAAATTATATCCAAATCTGACACATCATCTCATAATTAGAACTTTTACTTGAAAACGCGTAAAAGACAAAACAACAAATATGCTTTATGACAAAAGAGTTGACTTAATTTTTCCAGCTTCCCTTATTTATGAGACAATGTACCTTCATCAACCCCCTCCAAATGCTGGGTATATATCTCCCAGCTGATTTGATACGTAAAAGCATGAACAATTCCTAAATCAAGGTTAGTTAATGAAAAAACAATTGATGAATCAAGAATATCAGCAGCACAGTATAAACTCATCATTTTATAAATTTGATGGTCGATTAAATGATATTGTCAGCCAATGAAATTTATCATTAAACCATATGCTGATTGATCTTTTTCACACTAAATACGCGTAAGGTTTAACGTTGGGAATGAAAATATTTTTATATCTAAATCAGCCATATGGTTCTCAAGAATTGTAAAGGTAACTTTGCCTATAAATGTGTTTGCTAACCATTGGAACTTCCATAATTCCATACTTGTAATTAGAAATTTTAACAATAACAATAACAAAAATGTTGCCTGCTCTGCCAGCTAAGAGGATTAACTACTGAAAGTGTAAACTATTTTTCTTATTTTTAAATTTTGGAGACAGAAGGAAAGACTTGCCAATTCAATCACTTAATACTGAATTTTAAGATATCCAATTATTTTTTTTTTAATTCTGAGAGAGCATGAAGGTTTGACGCATTCTCTAGAGTAAACTTTGGAAGCAGTTATCGATGTATGTTTTCAAAAATGCAAGGTTTAACTTGAAAAATGGTGAAATACAAGAATTTGTAACCTTTTGTAATTATGAATATTATTTATATTAACTGCGTCATGATCAACGTACATGTAGCAGTCGACATTTAGCTCAGCGTTATATATCATACGACATATAAATAATATATCATTTTATCAAAAAGAGCCGTATTAAATATATCACAAAATGGATTCAAATTTAAGATCTATATTAGATTTTATACAAAATATGGTCAATGCATTATTTTAATATTTGAGTATAAAATATTATTTTCCATGATGGATATTCAGTGATTTCCTTCAAAAAATCAATCTACCAGGATATTCTAGCCATAGATTACGTAATAACTAGTCGATGGAGCTTTCGCAACGCATTTAGACTTTAATATATATACCTGCTAACTTGAAGATGAACTTGCAATCTCTTAACAAAAACCACATAGTTAACACTATAAAAATAGAGCAATATGAGCATTCTTTGGGCTCTCTGTCTAATTTTTGCAGCTGCTCACTGTACGGTGCCCCTCGCTGCCATGTATTCTCGGAGATACGTCAGAAACGTGGACTTTGATGATAAAAAGTCAGATGACGAACTTTTAGGAGAGTATTTTATATCGTTTTATATCGTTTAAAGACTGCGCTGAGAAATGTCGGAAGGATTGTGGCGTGTTTGGGTATAACGATGGATTGAAGAAATGCCGGCTCCACAGGAAACTCCGCAAGTCGTCAGCATCAGATGAGGAGGGCTGGAGATACTTCTTTGATGATTGTATGTATTGTCTCTGGTTTTCTTTTAAATTAAATACTGTGATTTTTCTTTACTTTCGTTCAATTTATGTCGTTTTTAGGTATTGAGAAACTCACAAATTTATGACCACCTAAAAATATAAACTTTCATATGCATTACGACTGAAATTTTCCAACCTCATAATTAAATCCCCGAAAACCCTTTTTTCCGTTTAAATTTGTTTTTTTTTTCTAGTCAGAGAACCAACAATCACTGACAGTTCCTGTATTTAACCGACAAAAAATATAATGAAGGACTGCTAAAAAAAACCATTTCAAATACAATACATACTTTTTGAAAGGACATCACTTTTGTTTCGGTGTTTAAAGGGATGTATATCTGATCGAGAAAGTTAATTTTTCTCATTTATAAAACATATAACCCCTAAAAAGCAAGTTCATTTGTCATTGAGAATATTTGAATGAAATATTATATTATCAATTATATATTTGAAATGTACAAACACAAATCCAATTAAAATCTGTTTACTATATTTCCAGGAGAGTTTAGTATCATTGTACAAATGTAGTTCATTTTCAATTCAATAAAATGATTTCTAACTTTTTATCCTTCTTATTTCTTATATCCCTTTGGTGTTGGTGTGTCTTTCATATCATAAAAATGCACCACTTTATTTTTTTTCTCTTTATTTCTTATGAAGACAATTCACTTTAATCAGTGCATACTGAGCAAACTAAGCAAGCCACATGCATAGATTTTGTGAACAATCGGTGTTCCATCAGGTATGCAAACAATAGCATATTAATCTATGATACGATATTTAACATATCTAATACGACTTTGAATTTCTCATACAGATGTAAATTTAAACAATCAATTGCCTTTCTTTGTCCATTACTTATTGGATTGAACGTCTCAGCTCTTGAAGAAATGAAAATAAATATATAATCCGCGTAATGTTATGTATTTTTTCTGCAACAGCTGCGATGTTATTTCCCGTACTAAAAACCAAAGAATGAGGTTTATCTTTAAGGATAAATAACACAAACTCTTTACAGAATTCGGCTATTTTGCACAAAGATTTACATCTAAATTAGTAAGCGGAATAATGATTACCAAGTATATTGGGAGAATCGTATAAGATTTTGTCATAAGATTAGAAATTTGTGCAAACTTTTGTATTGGATTACATAGCAAGCAAAACAAAGTGTCATATCTAGGCACCAAGGAAAACCTACGATCTCTTTGTATTCAGGGATTTGTTATTTATGTAATTTCGAATCAAAATCAGTCAAAAAATATATATCAATCCATGCACCAAATGTTTGTTTGTGTTAATACCCTTAAATAATCGCTTTTTCTGTTTCAGTTCTCCCTAGAGATTGTAAGGAACTCCTTGATAACGACTACACATATACAGGGGTGTACGATATCTATCCTTATGGAATCAGTTCTATTCCAGTCAAGGTGTTATGTGACATGACTACAATGGGAGGGGGATGGACGGTGTGTTGTTTATTTTTATTCTATTATGATAAGTTCTGTGACATGACTACAAGGGGAGGGGGATGGACGGTGTATTGTTTATTTATACAGCTTTATAAATAGTGTATACTACACTTGTAATTTTATTAAGATTTGATGTTCCCGAGGAGATGGGTATTTTGTATCAACCAGTACTTTGTTTGTTATTGAACATAATAATCTGGGGTTGGGACTTTAGTTTCAACCTATCAAATTAATTACATTGGATTTGTTATTCAGAGAGAGAGTTAGAGAGAGAGAGAGTATTTATATAGTATACCCCTGTAATTTGTTAATTTGGCAATTAGAATAAAATATGCAGATTTAATTAAATTTATATTTGATGTTCTTCAGGGTAGGAATATATATAACAATTTAATTAATTTCTTACTAAGGGGATAGGTAAGAGAAAAAAACCTTTTCATCTTTAAAGTTCTACTGCAAATATATCTCAATTTTCAAAATAATTCAACTGTTATGTATCTTTTAAAGGCAATTCAAAAACGGATAGATGGATCCGTGACCTTTGACAGAAACTGGATAAATTATAAAAATGGGTTTGGTTCTCCGGAAGCGGAAGTCTGGATTGGTAAATACTGATGTTTGATCCTGTTCCAAATTAAGAAAACACTATAATTTTGAAAAAAAGAAACTTTAGAAATAGTTGTTAATGAAGGATTAATTTTTAAAACTATTTAATATGTATTGAAATGTACTGGTGATTTATGTTAACTGTGTGTTGTTGAATTCCTGACTATAAGTTTGTACTTCACCAATTTTGAAAAAAAATTAAGATATGTTTAAAAGGGATATATAAATAGTGAATTAATTCATATATATCCTTAAAAAACGCAAGAAATTGTCTAAAGCTGATTTAGTTCACGTTAATTAAAAACGATTCAAAGAACATTAAGACTAAATAAAACATTTGCCTAAAAATGGTTTTTTTCCCTATTACAAGGAAGTGCATGACAAAATCAGTTACATGTATGACATTGATGTAAAAAAAAACACTTTATAATTTTGTGGGACAAAACTTTCCCACAGTATCTCTTTAATCGATGTGTTCGAGTAGAATCCACATTTTCTCATATTTATATAGGCCAGTGTTAAGAGTTAAAAATTGCAAAACAATGACTGACTGTCTAATTTGAATATACATCACATTTTATACATCGAAATAAAATCTTTGAAAGTAATTTTCTCAAAGCTGTGATATTTTTTTTTTTGGGGGGGGGGGGGGGGGGGCTTTGACAATCTCTAATGAGGGATATAAAAAAAATGGAATGCTAGTAAATACTAACAACAATAATCCATTTCAAAGCTTGAAATTCGATGTTTGAAACATTGTCGATTGAATCGGTAACATTTGCGCAGAAACTGTTTAACAAATTTACTGCCGGTGAATCCTTGACTGTTGATAATTATCTAAATTAGATCTTCTCTAATTTTATTTTTTAACACACCAGCAGACACAAATATTTTTAAGTTTCCCCTTTTATTTCCCCTCTTATGATA